ACTATTTGCAGTTAAGTTTATTCATTCTTCCAAGGGAACAAAAAAGCCCCCCTTTTTCTAGAATATTTTAAAGAATATTTGCACAGCCCTGCAATTTTCGATTCTGATTGACTGTCAACAGTTTTCTTTTTCTTTTTTCCCCATCCTTTAAGGGAGTTAACTTTAGAGCAATTAAATACTCAAGAGCCAGAATAGAATTTAGTCATCTTTGTTTCTATAACTAATATGCATTCTGAGCTACATCACAACTCAGCTATGTCTAATGAGTCGTACATAAATCAGTTGTGTGACTTGATTAATAAAGTCAACATAGTAGAAGAATTTGCTCTTAAGGAAATCCATGATTTCAGGGTTAAAAGCCACCCTTCATCTTATTTCGTTTATAAATTTGAATTTCTGTGTAGTGCCGGTTTTGAAGAGGGTTTCCCAACTCCAGGTGGCTCTTGGTTTTCTTTGTTTTAATTTGTGGCTTGGAAAGAAAAGAAAAACCTAAGTGGCTCCCATACTCTATCACCAGTCTTTCATGAAGGAAATCCCATGTTCATGAGGAAATCTTGCCACATCTAATCTAGCTTGTGTGTTTTGGCAATAGGGACAAGGAGAGTACAGTCCTTGAGGCTCCTTATAAAGATTTATTTTGTGGTGGGTAACCTTGGTGTTCAGTGTTTCCACATTTCTTTATAACTGTCTACAGATGATTCCTAAGCTGAAATTCATGATTTGCTTATTGAGTCTGAGTAGCGTGATGGAATGACTTGACATTTTCTGGAAAGAGTCTACTTTTTGATATGTTGCCTGTACAGAGAGCTCTTTTTTTAATGTCTTCAAAAGAAGGGGGGGAAAAAGGATTTTACCATCATCAGAAAAAAATGTGAAGCCCTCACAGGTCTGTTTTCTGTGGTCAACAATTTGTTGGCCAAACCTGGTGTGTGTTTCTGAGCACCTACCACAGCTGTACCTTCATAACCCACCCTTCCCAAACTCCTTTCCTTCTGCCCTTTGGGCGAGTGAAGACCCCCAAAAAGCACCAGGCCCTGAGGAGCTCAAGTCCTATCCTGAGGGGCCTCAGGGCGCCATGTTTCTGCTTTTTGCCATCTGGTGAAGTCTTGCTGACCTTCTGGCCCCCTGGACTCTTCGGCGGCCTTCCTCACCCTCAGGGAGGAAACGGTAGGGCTCTGTGTGTTGGTGATGCCTGACACTTTTTTTTTTTTTTTTTGAGACCTTACCAAGATAATTGAAATTTCTTAGCCCAATTGGATAGAAAATATGAAGTTAGATACCGGTGAAAGCAATTCGGGACCCTTTGCTGTGAACCATCGGGAAATGATGAAGATTTCGCAGTGTGATGGCTCCATGACGTGCGGGGAAGTTGTGTGAAAATAAGGAATGAGTGCCTGCTCGCTACACAGTTGGAAATTATTGTGGCATAATGAACTATTGCCTTGAAGCCTCATCGTGTTCTGGGGTTTCTTTTTGTCCTAGAAATCCTTGAAGTGCATGAATTTTATTATTTTTGCTTGCCAAGAAGCTTATCCTTTTAGAAGGTCAGTCCTGGAGGCTGGTTCTTTCCAGAGCACCTCTTCCCAGGAGCTGGGTTTTGTGTCACATGGCACTGGTTGAGCAGCTCTGTCCCTGCCCCTTTCTCACTCCCTGGCCTCCTCCAGCCCCCCCGCCTAGGCGTGATCCTGGCAGAGACCCACGGAGTCTTAACTGCTTAGGTTTTCTTCCTCGGCGCCAGACCCAGCACTGGAGGGAAGGAAGAGGGGGCAGCAAGGCAAAGCTGTCTCCTTCAGGGGATTGTGCAGGCAGAGAGAGCAGGCCTGTGGGCTTCCAGAAAATGTGCCTCGCGCAGGCAGTTTGTGGGGGCAGAGCGCTGTCGAAACCATTCACATTCCTGTCGAAACCTGGCCGGAGGAGTGTCCAGTCATCCCACACCTGGATGTTTGTCGGATTTTGGGAGCACAGAGTTAGGTCAGTCGTGAAAGTCAGTGCCTTCTATCATGTTATGACAGTAAGATTTAAAAAACGTTTTCAGAGTATAAGTCTCCTACAGAAACACGCCCAGATCACAATGACTGTGAATGAATACGTGAATACACTCTTTTGTCCATCTCAGAGATTACGTAAGAGAAGATTCTCAGCCCCCAAAGGCGACCCCCCCCAACACCCCCCACCCGCTCTTCCTTCTCTGTGAGGATAGCTACTATCCTGATTGTTCATACCTTCGGGGACTATAACAAATGAGTTCACGATCGGTGGAATCCAATCCATACCCTTCCTTGTGAGTTCTTTGACTCGGCATTAGGTTTGCGACCTTCATCTGTGGTGTTACCGTGGCAACAGCGTCTGCCTGCGTTCCCATGGCTGAAATCGATTCATTCTACTGATAACGGGCATTTGGATGGTTTCTAACGTGGGATTGTCCCATGTCTTCGGGTGAGTTTCCAGAATTGCCGAACCCATACATATGTTCAGCTTAGCGGGTCCCAGTAGTTTTCCAGACGGCTTATTAGGAAGCCCGTAGCGTCATATTGGATGCAGGGCCCGTGGCTTGGGTTCAGCGTAACATGCAACACAGGATGGCAGATGCGGCAGTGGCCTTTGTGAGCCCCCGAAGTGCTCCACATGGCTTGCGGTGTCTTGAGTTCATCAAACTAGAAACTGCGAGCGATTTTTCAGTGCTGGTGAAAATGACTGTGATTAATCATGCAACATTATTCTGCAGTTGGGAAAGAGAGAAGACATTTATTCTTTTCCTGAAATCAATTCATTTGATAGTTTGCTTTCCTTTCCCTCCGGGCCAGAATTGGATCCAGTTAATGACGAATCCCAAACTGTGGACCTCCTCGTCCTTCACTCCCTTTGTGACGAAGCCCACTCGTCTTCAGGCTTTTTTTTTTTTTTAAGATTTTTATTTATTTATTTGACAGAGAGAGATCACAAGTAGGCAGAGAGGCAGGCAGAGAGAGAGGGAAGCAGACTCCCCGCAGAGCAGAGCGCCCGATGCGGGGCTTGATCCCAGGACCCTGAGATCATGACCTGAGCCGAAGGCAGAGGCTTTAACCCACTGAGCCACCCAGGCGCCCCCGTCTTCAGGCTTTTTATGCAGAAGTCTCTTCTATGTGTTTTCAAATTCTATCACTTGGAGAATTTAAATGAACTTAACCTGTTGTAGAATTTTCTTTTCCTTCCTTCCTTCCTTCCTTCCTTCCTTCCTTCCTTTCTTTCTTTTTCTTTTTTTCATAAAGTGGCAAACTTCTCCAGGTATCATTTATATAGTGATGGTACCATTGTTTTATTTGGGGGAGGGGAGATTGTGGAAGAAGGTGTGGAAAGATCTGGGTCCTGGAAGCTGGGTGAAGACTCAGCACCGTGTTCTCCCTGGAGGGACAGCTCGTCACCGCGGTGGTAGGAAACCAGGTACACCTTTATGCAAGATGAATCTTTATGCAAGATACAGATCGCTGGGCCACCTATAAATTGTGCATCTCATTTGTGGGCGTGTCCCTGGAAATCTACACATGCAGGCACATCATCATTAATGTATAAGTCTGTTTTATTCCTTCTAAGTTACTTGTGCTGTGTTGTTTCAAGGGGTTTTCCATTTCCCCGCTGGATCACAGTATCTCAGTGTTTGATGACACCCGAGGGCATCTCTAGATGCAGAACATCCTGCCTTGTGTTGTAGAACTGTTGATTTTCTTTGAAAAAGATCTAACCATGGGCCTACCCAGGAAGGAAGAAAAGAACTAGCAGGTAAAGCATAAACAAGGAGGAGAAGCATTAACGCATGGGATGTGGGGAGAAGAAAGCACCACGAGGAGGGAAGAGCCACCTTTTCCCAAAGCCAGCATCCTCTCAATTACCCCATTTATAGTTAGACCCTGTTGGAGGTGGCAGCTCATTTCTTTCCAAGACAAACAGTTATGTCGTGGAATATTTTTATTTTAGAATGTCCATTCCTTCTCAAAGCTAAAACTCTCCTTTCTTGTAGCTTTCTGCAGATCCTTAAGCCTTTTGGGCCCGAGCCCGGGCCTGTTTCCATGGACCAAAGCAAGACAACAACTCACCCTACTCTCCACGATCAGCCATAGCCCTGATCATTCTTGACCTTGGAGCTCATTGCATCTGCAATGAGCTTGTTGTCTGAGTGGTCCCAGATTTGCTCTCCTTGAGCTATCCGAAGGAAGTGAAGGACTAGATGGAATTAACTTTTTCTCGTGTTCAATTTTCATTGCCGGTTCCTCTTTCTCCTGCCTGCTAAATCTAGGCGTCCCTTCTCTTCCCGCACCCCTCCCTACAGCAGCCGTTTGCCTCTGCAGAAGGACAACAGCAGAGGTACTCTTCCTGGATGGTTGGCTTCCAGATAATGGGGGCAAAGTTCCCCTCCCATTTTTCTTCTATCTAATGTAAAATTTGCTTTAGCATAGTCACCAGAAGTGTTAGTCAGCTGGAGCTGCTGTAACAGAATACCATATATGGGTGTCTTATGAATGTCAGAAACTTCTCTCTCACAGTTCTGGAGGCTGGTGAGTTCACATAAATTCTGGTGAGAGCCCAGTGCTGAATCAAAGATGGCGGTCTTCTTGCCATGTCACCCATAGCAGGAGGGACAAGACAGCCCCCAGGAATCTCTCTTATAAGGGCACTCATCCCATTCATGAGAGCTCCAACCTTCATGACTTCATCGTCTCCCAAAGGCCCCACCTCCAAACACCATCGTCACCTTGGGGTTAGGTTGCAGCATGTGGCTTTTGGGAGGACACAAACGCTTAGTCTGTTGCACCAGCGGTACTGAGTTTATATGTGTGATGCTGAAATGGGAGAAACGATTTCTTTCGTCCTTTTCAACAACTGTCTTCCCATGAGTACTGAAAATCAGTACTTCTAGGAATATTTATCTAATCAGTTGACATCGTTAATGGATCCATCTTTACGATCAGCTTCCTACCAATCTAATTAATAAAACTGTGGACCTTGGTTACTGGCGTTCTCTGAAGTGCGGTTCTTGGTACTTGGGTCTCTGTGCCTTGTCCCTAAAAATAGAAGCTCGGGCGATTGCATTTAGGCTGGGCTGGTCCTTGGGAAAGTAAGCAGTCTTATCAGCATCCTTCCACCTTCTTCACTGGCGAACTGCTGCTGCCTTTTGGGCAGAGGGTAACGGACTGAAATGCAGGGGAAACGCTCGGTCCTGCCTATCTTGCTAATCCATCTTGCACCTGTGAACTCCTGATCAGGTCCTTAATTCAGAGTTACACACGTGTGTCAGAAGGCAATGATAAACCCTAGAGGCCCCTTCTGGAACCACCTACTCAGAAGATTTCGCAAGAATGTTTATCGTAAGATTTGTAGCTTTTCCAGTGTGGTCTTGATAGAACCGTCCTACAGAAGGAAATCTGGTGGAGGAGTTGGCAAGATGCAGCTGTTGGGTTAGGGTTATGGCTCATGTTAAAAAACAAAAACAAAAACAAACCAACGACAAAGAAAACCCCTGAAACCACCAGGCTCTGAAAGCTGGACTGTTTTCCTGATGCCCTGAAACAGCTCTGGGGCATTTCAGCAGAGAAAACAGAGCTTCATAGGTTCGCCTGCCTGGCTCTCAGGCACACAGAGTTTAAAAAGGAGCTGCTCAGGGTAAAATAAATGCTTTTGAAATTTTTCCACTGGGCCAGCCATCGGTAGGTAAGTGCTTTGAAAAATGAATGAAAATCAAACATAAAGTCACACATGGCTCCCGCCGACTTTGTAATGAATGACGCCCGTGCAAAAGAACAGCCCCGCGCGTGCATGTGTGTGCGTGTGTGCGGCCAGTCTGTCCGGCTTTGTTCCGTGGGATGAATAAAGCGACTTGGACTGTGGTGTCATCAGGGAAGGAGTCTCATGCGCAGGCTCAGACCTAGAGTTTGAGTTCTCCTTGCTTGCTTTTGTGTTCAGTGGTGGTTAAAAACACATAACACTTAGCGTCTCCCCCATTTTAAAGTCAGGAGTGCAGTGGTGGTTAGTGGATTCACGTTGCTGTAAAACAGAGCTCTGGGACTTTTTTTTTTTTTTTTTGCAGATGTGAAACTCTGTTAAATAACTCTATTAAATAACCCCACCGCCCTCTCCCCACCCTCACCGCCCCGTCCCCGCCCTCCCCATCCCTGCACCCAACCACCATCCTACTTCCCTTGCTATGAATCTGTTCCCGCCTTTCTTTCAGGAGCCTGTTCATTTCCCAGTCTTCTCTCCTCGCTTCAGGGCAATTTGGGTTAATCGTGCCATTAAGGAGGACAGAACCATTTGTAATTTTGGCTTTGTAAAACAGTGCGGGCGTTAAACGCCTAGTGTGTGGGGCTCTGATGAGCTTTTCTTGTGGCCTGATGGCAGCGCCATTGAGAAAGCATCCTGCCCGATGAAGAAATGAGACCGTGCAAGGACAATCTAAACTTTATTAACTAGATCTTTTTCCTGTATCTCTCCTCCAGAATTGAGTCTGACTCTCCAATTTCTAGGGAAACCTGTAAACTCTCTTCTGTCAAGTTTTATTTCATTTTCAACAGTTGACGGACTGTTTCAAGCATGTACTTACTGCATTTGTTTGTAGCGCTGATGTAATTGTTTATAAACTGGGACAGAGTATGCATGTCACGACCCCACACTGTGGACAGATAAACCCAAACTCTGGATCAAAGGGGGCGCGCTGTTTTCGGCTGTGTACGTCCTTGCTTGTGGAGCTGCGCAGACGAGTGTTTTAAGTGCTGTGACGTCATAGAGGGTCATTGTTAAAGGCGGTTTTATTGTGCGCTTCCGCTTTTTCAGAAACTTCTGCTTGTCTTCAGGTGTGGCCTGGCTCTAGCGCTGGTATGGGAGCGCTGCGGGCTGCCTGTGTTCCCGGGCAGGATTTTATTTCAAAGATGTGCTCTACGCCCATGCTTTTCAGTGTCCGTCTTAGGTTTGCCTTCCGTTCTCCTGCCGCTCACTTTGAGCAGTGGTCACACTACAAAAAAGGAAGTCACCCTAACCGGGCTGGTTGCTGGGCTGGTCTGCTTGAAAATAGGGTTTTTGTATAGGGCTTGAAGGCAGCCCCAAACTGAAAACCCATATGAATGGACAGCAGAGTGGGCTATGCAAGGTATTGTCTTTACCTGATTTTGAAATAATCACACAAGAGTAAACCAGGAAGCCAGTTCAAAAGGGAACAGAAGGTCTGAATATTCTGGAATGCTACATCAGTAATAATAGCCTAAGGAGGGTCTGGTCTCCAAACAAGATCTGAAAAAACAGAACCCCTCCTTTTATTTCTGGGACCTAGTTCCTCATCGAAGCCAGGTGAGGGATGAGGCGGAAAGGCTCATGGCCAGTTAGTACTGGTGAGTGATGGTTTCCATGCGGTCTCTCTGGTCTTCTTGTAGGTGTTTCTGGCCATGTGCAATGGTCATGTGACTAGCGCTGTTGTGCATGGTGGCCCAGCCAACGTGCTTCCTTGTCGAAAGAAAACCATCCTTCCTTATTTCCCTTTTCGTGTTTTCCCTCTGAGTAGCCTTTCCAGAGTGGTTTTCCTTTACAGCGTTTGGAAGATGTTGGTTCTCTATACTTCTGCTGTATACTTTGAGCAACGATGTCTTGAAATAAAAAATATATCTCAAAACGGCTTTAGAATCTAGACCCCAGCACACGGTTATTTTTGTTAAAAGATCGTGCTGTTGCGGTCTCCTCGTGAGAAGTGATCTTAAGAGGATTTCATTCACGTATCTGCTTAGCACAGACACCTGCTACAGATCATGCTGATCTAACGAACAAAACCAGACATCCATATGCTCATGGAGTCTGCGCGCTAATGGAGCAGCACAACCATGTATAAGAAACATTATAAAGAAATACTGTTTCAGATGCTAGAGAGTGATAAAGTGAAAAATGAGAAGCAGAAAAGGAAGTTAAGGAGGCATGGGGACAAATTACAGTTAAGGAGGGTGGTTTGGGTGAGCCCTGTTGAGAAATGACATTGGCGCAGAGATTTGAAAGAGGCAAGGGAATTATGCATGTACCTTTTTAAGGAGAAGGTTTTGGAGGCAGAGGGAGCAACCAGTGCAAAGGCCCTGAGGTAGGTATATACTTGATAGCCTGAGAACTGCAGACAGTCCTGTGTGGCTAGACTGGAGTGAGCAGGAGGAGAACACTTGGATGTGGCTTCAGACAAGTGACAGGGGAGGAGCAGATTCTCTGGGGCCTTGTTTTCCATTGCAAAGACCCTGACTCCGAGTTTGGAGGAGGAATGACATAGATGATTTAGTGGAAGATGGCTATTTCTGATAGAACTGACCTGAAAAACTATTTGGGAACTATTTATGTAGTAACTCAAATGGTAATCAGAAGTACAGAGGCCAGATGCAGCAAAGAAATACAAGAAAGCTGAAAAAAATTTCATCAAGGTATTGCAACAGGTGAATTTGAAAAGACTGTCATAGAACGTAAGCTGTGTGGTTTCCAAGTCCTGAGTGTCATGGAGGACTGGGAGTGTGTGCATGAATCAGAATGGTTGGAGGATACTTTTCCAAACACTTCTCACATGCAAGATTCTAGATATGTACAGGTTAGAGGGTGTGGATGGCTTTAAGTTTCCAGGTGAACCTCAGAATCATTGCTGTTCTGGAATTAGCTCCTAGAAATAGCTCCTGACTTGAACATCATTTCTTTTTACTAGGTTTGTAAGAACTTAAAGAATCTGATGTAAACCATTTAGAATGATCTTGCCTGCCAACATGGGTTTATTAGCAAGGAGCTTGTTGCCTGATAACTTAAAGGAAAACAGTTTAATTCACTCTTTCAGCCTTTCTAGTGGACCATCCGTATTTTTGGATTTGCTGTCTGTACTTTTTCTATATACTTAATTATGAGCTTTTTCCTAAGCCTAGAGTTTTTATGCTTAGGCTTTGTCTTACTCTGGCAAGCTGGTGGCAGGAAGGACGGGTCATCCACAGTGAACACACAGAACTTGCTTGCTTTTTAGGGTTTTCTAGTTTGTGGATCATACAGACTTGCCCCCCCCCAACCCTTATTCCTATTATTTCATTCCTCAACCCCTCCTCAAAAGATTCTGGAATATAATCGCCAATATATGTTTTATTTTATAGCAGTTCATGTGCAGTAAACCTTAAAGCAGAGTTTAAAGGGAGTTTTCTTAGATATCAAAAAGTGGAAAAACTTGGAAAAGCCTAAACCATAAACGAAGCCTCTTTCTAAATGCTGACATCAGTGCCTGGCATTTTATGTGTTAACCCCCGTTGAATTCTTAGGCTTGCCTCCCTAGGAGGCATCATTGTTCCATTATTCAGATGGGAAAATCCGTGCCCAGGCAGGCCATGTAAGTTGCCACATAGGCAAATGACAAGCCAGGCATCGAAGTCCTATCCTAAAGACTCTGGAACCTCGGTCCAGCACACGCTCCCCCTCCCCCCATTCTGTGCTGCTCCCAAACGTAATCTCACACATTTTTATACCTAGCAGTAATAGCTTCATGCATTGGAAATATTTAAGTTTGGTGTCTGTCTTTCTTTATAAATATATTGTGTACTTTGTTTATAATGAAAATATTCTTTAGAGTCCTTGACTTTTTCTCCCCCCAATTTGCCATTCCCTGTAGTAGATTACCAGTCCTTTTGGATTTTTTCCCATTATAAAACACACCTAACATAAATTTTTACCATGTTCAGCATTTTTAAGTGTACGGTTCAGTGGCATTAAGTACATTCACTGTGTTGTGCAGCCATCACCACCATTCATCTCCAGAATTCTCTTCCATCTTCCCAAACTGAGCTCTGTACCCCTGAAACAATAACTCTCCATCCCTGTTCCACCCCAATCCCCTGGGAAACAGCGTTTCATTTTCTGTGACTATCTTAAGTCTCTTGTTAGATACCTTTTGTTACCTTTGTTATATATTTGTAAGTTTCTTCATGCTAAATCTGGAGCCTCTCTGTTTACACTAATCTGAGCTTTCCAGTTTTTCTTTTACTTTATTTATTTATTTTT